GTTACAGGGGTCTCAACAATCTCGTTTAAATTTTAACTGATGTTTTTCGAAATAAACGGATTAAATAGATAAGGTTGGGGTAAAAATTTACCAAAAAAGTCATTATCTATTATTTCGCCATTTGGAAAATTTCGGATCATTTGCTTAACTTCGGCAGTTTCTGGAGCATTGAAATGAAAAATAAAGTAATAAACACAACACACGAAAAATGGCGACGTTGGATGATTTTACGACGCACAAAAGAGCAGTTCAGTTTTATGCAGATTTAAAAAAAATGATGCATTTATAGACTTAAATGATAACAGAGGATTAAGAAAAATATGAAAATATCACTAGATCTTTAGAACCGACAAGTAGAAAGGACGTTTTTAAGCGGAAGTCTTTCATCAAGTCCTAGGGTAGAACCAAACATACATCTACTGGCAATAGCGAAAGACAACATCACTGGAGACCGTCGAGATAAGACTGCCTATTTAGTTGAATATAATGGGGGTACTGTCCATAGCTTACTAATACAAATCTTCAGAAGGTTCCATGTTTGTGCGAGACTGGTACCTTGTTGTTTATGGAGGAATAAAAGGGGAGTGTGTGCATCAGTGACAGGCGCGGATCCAGGAATTTTTTCCAGGGGGGGGGGGGGGGTCCACTCCAGTCAAAAAAAATGTCCAACCCAAAAATTCCTTGACAAGCCAAAAAAATAAATAAATAAATAACAATAAAAAAAATCCGTAAATTCCATTTCCAAAACGTGAAAAACACCTATTTCGTGGTGGTGATGGTGGGGACCACGTTTTCGGGGGGGGGGGGTCCAAAGTTTTGTTTTTTTTTGATTCAGTATATAGTTTTAGTAACTCTGCAAAATCCAGGGGGTCCGGATCCCCGACACCCCCCTCTAGATCCGCGCATGAGTGAAATTGCAGTATTTAAGTGGAACTTTTCCTAATTTATTATTGCAAAGATGAAACGTGACGGTGTTCTAGACACTTTGACGTTTTATCCGTGCGCCGTAAGGTGATACCAAACATAACATAAAATCCCATATTTGTTTATTTGAACATCTATTTAAAATTTGCTATATGTATTGATGAAAAATATACTATTACAATTGTGAAAATTTTAGAACGCAGTGTTGATTATTTTTCTGTCCAAATAACGTCCACCGGACAACCTTAGTGTAATCTTTTCTTTGTGTCATTACACAGGTCATGACCCCTGGAGGTAATCCCAAACCCCTGAAACTAGAAAATTTCTAATATCTCAAAAACAGTTTAAAATTTTATACGTAACCATATTCTAGTATATAACGTTGTCTGTGTCACGACACATAAAATTATATATAGGTCATTACTGGAGGTACATGTGTAATTCCCATCCCCTGAAACTGGAAATAATCTGATTGAAAGCAATAACTTGGGTAGCTATTAATTCAATCCTTGAAATATTCTTGTTCATTTTGTCAAACCATTGACACATTTCAATGACAATTAATTTTTTTTAGAATATGTGAATTGATTTTTGTAATTTGTGAAGTGAAGTGAGTGAAGGTTCCAACTTTTTCAACAAATGGAGTTGACTATGCAACAAAAAAGGGGGGGGGGGGCAACCAGCCTTTCAATGAACATTTTCACTAAATTAATTGTTAAACATTATGTTTTCAAAAAGACGACTTCGTAGGTTAACACGTTTAACAACCGTGAGCTGTGGAGAATGTTCAAATCATATATGATGGTCCGTTCTTTTTTTCACATACCTTAAATCATAATCTTAATGTAAATTATTTATTAATAAGTAATTCAATAAAATAAAGGAATCAAATGCTTAAAAGATAATATTGACAAAACCATTTTTGAGACATATTCATGTATAACTTTTGCATGAACTTTTAGAATTGAGAAATATAGAGGGTAGAGGTTAGATATTTAAAAGATGTCTTTCTTTTCACTCTTTGGAACTCAGATCCCCAGCATCAGTTTTTAATATTCAGTGACAATAGGTATTTTAAAAGTGATCATTAAGCATGATATATCTACCTGTACTGATTACATGACATTAAATACTTTACAGAAAGGTTGCATGGATGAATGATTTCTCTAGACATACATCGTCTTCAGAGGTTTGGATTCAAATTTATTGCAGAGTAATTTACGTTTACTACGAATTTAACTCTTCGGGTGAATACATTAGGGTCTTAGAAATGAACAAGTTTGCATGTTATTATATTACATCGATAAAATGCAAAAGAAAATCCTTCTTGACATGAGACCGATATAAAATGAGACCGACATAAAATGTCGAATGGCTGACTTCTATCCCGAAAAACATACTCAGATTACAGTGCTCGTCTCATTTTTATTTTATTAGGCTACGCCGTTAATTTTTTAAATCTACGCCAAATAGTAAGATATGACCTTTAGTAAAACGCAAAATCGGCGGAAGTTACGACTACGCCTACGTTATCGTCTACATTTTGACTTACGATCTTAGTAAAACTCGGCACTGTCGAGGAGAACCTTCGCGAGCCCTGCGTGAGTGCCGCCGAGCTCCCTTTTCTTCCTCATCCAACGATTATATTAATCCCCAAAGTAAAATCTGGTCAGGAAATGCGCTTTTTCGGGCTCTATTTTCATTTTTTTTTCTTCTTGGTCGACTTTTTCAAAGTAGCATGCCTACCGGGCTACCTTCTTTTACCATGCTGTTTTGTTTTTGATAACTACGCATGTGTGAATAGCATGATATGTGGAACCCCTACTACGTTGCGATGTATATATTTATGGACCGTCCATAAATAATTATTATTTTAATGAAATATTCAAATTATTCAGTTATTCAGTTATTAAACTTGTAATTTTCAGAAAGTTTATAGATTTATGAACAGTAAAGAATTTCCAGTTTTATCAAGTCTGTTTTTATGACGTTTTGGTATTTATTGTCATTCAGTAATATCACCTATTCGAATTGGTGATATCACCTTTTGGAAATGAATAGTTGATATCACCTATTCATTTTGAATTGGTGATATCACCCATTCGAATAGGTGATATCACTTATTTGTATTTCTTACAACATTAAATGATGAATGCTCCCTTCCTCAAGACTATCTAGCTTCAATGCTAAGTAAAGGATGGAATTTTAGAAAGCTTTCAAAGAGCAATTTCTTCCGTGGCATTGATTCAGAATTGATGAAATTAATTTTGTTACTCTTGAACAAACTTTTCAAAAAGATTATAAAGATTATAATCTTTAGATTATAAAGATTTAAAAGATTATAAAGTTTTTATGGACTTTTTATATTCTTAATTTGAGCCATTACCTTTACTATTTCCGCATTGCATTGACCAAATAATTTGTAGTTTCGCTGTGAGATCATTTACATGTATATCACAAGAAGGGGGGGGGGGCACTATTTGAAAGTTACATATATATGTACACACAAATAAAACATAGAAAAACTCGATTTGCATATAAAGAATATATTTTAATCCCTCAAGTCCCTAAGCCCATTCGGGCTGACCTTTTCCCCTGTGTTTTAGTCCGATACATTTTACAAAAGCATATGTTATCGATCCCTGTAAAGTTATATAAATTTTACTTGCCGTCAGTTTTGCTATATTTATTGTTACTTTTTCTCTGTTTATGATTTTAAAAAAAGACTGATTTTTTACTTCCTGTATAGAGTAAACGTATGCAGTACATATAAAGTCTTGGGAGCAGTTGTTATTTCATAAATAATTTGAATAGTTGACATCACCTATTAGCTAATAATAAGTGATATCACCTATTCAAGATGAATATGTTATATCACCTATTCGAATAAGTGATTTCACTTATTTGATTTGAATAGGTGATATCACCAATTTAAATAGGTGATATCACCTATTCATATTATATACGTGATATCACCTATTCGAATAGGTGATATCACCTATCACCCCCAATCGCACCCCAGGTGAAAATCGAAATTCCAAAATCTTATTGCACACCTACACGACACTCCCAATCATATTCCAAAATATGACTGGGCTACTGCGAAAAATTTAAGAGGAGTTGATTGTTCAGGGAACCAGGTTTTATATATATATATATATAGAGAGAGAGAGAGAGAGAGAGAGAGAGAGAGAGAGAGAGAGAGATCATTTTTACCCCCATTTGGCCCCCAGGGTGTAATGAAGAATATTTCAAAATCTTTTTTGCACATGTTCAAAGCACCACCAATCATCAGTATTCCAAAAGATGAGTTGGCTACTGCCATTGTAAAAATATGAGTAGTTCGAGGAAGATTTAAGATAGCATGACAGACGGACGCACCGACCAGGAAACAACAATATACGGTCCGAACTTTCTTTAGCAAGTGCTGTTAAAAGAAAGGCCTAACAATTGGTGTGAAATGACACCACCTATATTCCACAACTGCATTAATTACTGCTTAAAATAAAAGAGAAGTTTGAGAAAGAAGACATTGTGACGGACCAGGATAACAACAATACACTTTTTTTTAGAAAGTGCGGGTATAACAACCTGCTTTTTGCCTGGGTGTCCCATGACCTTAAAGACTTAAATTCATTCTAAATCATTATTATCTCAAAGTTTTTTTGGTGAATCTCTCTCCCCCTCTCTGCAGTGGCAGATCCAGGAATTTCATAACGGGGGGGCGCAGTAGAAGGCAGGGGATCTGGGAGGCTGCATTGAACCCCCCCGCCCCCCCCCCCCCCATGTGTCCAGGGCAAAGCCCCGGGAAGCTGGCGAACTCTTACAAATAAGAGGTGTTTTTTCCCTTGATTTTAGGAAAATGGACATATAAGTTCTACTTACATGTAAAAAAAAAAAAAGGAAAAAACGGGGAGAGGGGGCTAGCCCGGCGCGCCGGCAGTGGATCCGCCTTTGGTGTGTGTGTGTGTGTGTGTGGATCGATCGATCAATTCATTATGCCCTCATGAGCCTTCGTAGATTCCTACTGCAATTTGACAACAAACGAAAACCCGAGGTGAATTGCTCTGATCGAAAAGCAATTTAATGTCATCTAGCCTCGATATTAATTGATATTGATGCAAAAGATACATTACGCAAACGTATGAGCATGAGCGTGTATCCGCCCCGGCGGCATGTGTGGATCATCTCAACCATAACAGCCTCGGCATAATGAAGATTGAACATGTAGAAGCCGTGTTTACAGACGATAAGGCTCAGCCAAGGTCTGTTTATTTCGCCGGACAGACGATATATGGGGTACTGAAGTTCCGGGTGTCAGAGGAGTTTCCTGTTAACAGTAAGTATTTTACTTGTATTGATTCACAGACTCTGAACTCTGTTTGACCCACTCTGTGTGACCTATTGAACGAGAAGCGATCTAGTACCGGCCTACTATAATTAAGCAATATATTTAAAAAATGCTGTACCTATGCTTTAAATAAAATATAGGGTCACACCATTGAATAAGGAGCTAATAGCTTCTTTGGAAGTTGATGATTATAGTTTTTTTTATTATGAACATCATGCCAATAGAAAAACTTTGTCTTTGACAGTAAATACTGAATTTTGGCCGACATTTTTGTTATTGTACCATATCGTTTAACTTACTATGAATGCCATTATTTTTAGGCGTTGTTCTGAAATGTAAGGGGAAATCCCATGTCAAATGGGAGAACGATGATGATAAAACTATCCACTATGACGAGCTGTACATGGAGGAGAACGTCTACCTTGTAGGATCCAGTACGTTAATTTTTCTCTCGTTGTATATTAGTTCGTTTAAAAAAAACAGTATAATAAATGGAAAACAACCCGTCAGATCATAGAGGCAAGACTTTCTGGATGTGTTTACTAATCATAGGCCATAGCATAAGGCCATCCAAACCACTTCCAAGAAAAAAATCTTATCAATTCAATGATCAAATTAGTATGTATTAGACCCATCCCCCCGTTTCTATTCAAAAACTGTAATGTGATCCGATGAAATCGTATCATACTTGAAAATTACAACCAGCCCACCCCCAAGAAAAAATCATAACAATTCAATTATCAATTACAACTGCTGAATTTGGCATGCATTAGACCCCCCCCCCTTCCTATTCAAACAAAATCTAATGTATTCCGATTAAAATAATATTATTATAATACTTGAAAATCACGACACAAGGCTTTGGACTTATGCTTTTGTTTGAATTTATATGATTAAAATAAGCTGGTTCGTTTCGTTCTAGCTTACCTGAGCCGAAGTGAGCTTTTATGATCGAAAAATGTCCGGCATCCATCTGTCTCTTGTGTGATTTCTGTAATTAAACTTTTCACATTTCGACTTTTTCTCCAAATCCACTGGACCAATTTCAGCCAAACTTGCCATTCTTGGTTGATGAGTTTTTTAAGTTTGGTCACATGAAGGATCATGCCCCCTTTCAAGGGGAGAGATAATAAAGAATGAGTGAAAATTTAATGGCATCTTTTAAAAATCTTTAAGAACCACTGGACTAGAAAAGACGTATAACCAATGTGAAAGCTTCATTACATAGTGTAGATTCAAATTTGTTCAAATCATGACCCACAGTGGTAGGGTGGGGCCACAACAGCGGATCAGATTTATACGTAGAAATATATTGAACAAATCTTAGTTTAAAAATCTTCTCTTTATAAAGAACATCAAAGTCGTGATTAGTCATATTAATACAGATGCATCCTAGGGTAGTTAAGATTCAAGATTGTTCAAATCAGGAATACCCCCGGGGGGGGGGGGGGAGAACGAGCTAGGCCACAATAGAAGATCAATCTTTTACATAGAAACATAGGGAAAAAACTAGAAAATCTTCTGAGCCATGGCTATAGTCAAAGAAATATGGACCATTCTCAGTTAGTGTAGATTTAAGTTTGTTCAAATCATGCCTGCCCCTGGGGGTAGGTTGTGACCACCTATATATTTAAACTTTTCAATCTGAACTGATTTCTGTTTTTCTCTAGCCAAAGTACTTAGGTGAGCGATGTGACCCATGGGCTTCTTGTTAGTTCGTTTTGTTTTGGAAGTTTCATTTCAAATTTATTTTACAATTTAAAGTGTACTTGTTATAGGTACATGTACTTACTGTCACAATAAAAAAATTGTGAGACGATATTTTGATTGTATTTTCAAAATTAATCATTCTCTTATTAATGACGTCTACTTATTTTTTCTTGATTAGAGGACTCGGGAGATTTTAAACAAGATCTTCATGTGGGAGAACATACGCATAACTTCTCGTTCAAGTTAAGAGAGGATTTACCCACATCCTTTGAGTCCAAACATGCGTACGTCCGATACTTTCTCTGTGCCAAATTCTATCGACCAGGCTGGAAGAAGGATTATGAATTCAAGCAACCCTTTACTGTACTCTCTATTATTGACCTAAACAATATACCGGAAGCCCAGGTGACGATTCAGTTTTATAGAACTTATTATGAAGACTCATTTTTAGCTCACCTGAGCTGAAAGCTCAAGTGAGCTTTTCTGATCACATTTTGTCTGTAGTCTGTCTGTCTGTCTGTCCGTCCGTCTGTAAACTTTTCACATATTCGACTTCTTCTCCAGAACCACTGGGCCAATTTCAACCAACTTGCCACAAAGCATCCTTGGGTGAAGGGGGTTCAAGTTTGTTCAAATGAAGGGCCACGTCCTCTTCCAAGGGGAGATAATTAAGAATTGGTGAAAATTTGGTGTCATCTTTTAAAAATCTTCTTCTCAAGAACCATTGAGCCAGAAAAGTTTATACTTATGTGAAGCCTTCATTACATAGTGTAGATTCAAATTTGTTCAAATCATGACCCCCGGGGGTAGGGTGGGGCCACAATGGGGGATCAAAGTTTTACATAGGAATATATAGGGAAAATCTTTAAAAATCTTCTTCTCAAGAACAACAAAGCCACAATTAGTCATATTGATATGGAATCATCCTCAGGTAGTGTAGATTCAAGTTTGTTTAAATCATGACCCCCGGGGGTAGGGTGGGGCCACGATGGGGGGTCAAAGTTTTACATAGGAATATATAGGGAAAAATCTTTAAAAATCTTCTTCTCAAGAACAACAAAGCCACAATGAGTCATATTGTTATGGAATCATCCTCAGGTAGTGTGGATTCAAGTTTGTTCAAATCATGACCCCCGGGGGTAGGGTGGGGCCACAATGGGGGATCAAAGTTTTACATAGGAATATTTAGGGAAAATCTTTAAAAATCTTCTTCTCAAGAACAACAAAGCCACAATTAGTCATATTGATATGGAATCATCCTCAGGTAGTGTAGATTCAAGTTTGTTTAAATCATGACCCCCGGGGGTAGGGTGGGGCCACAATGGGGGGTCAAAGTTTTACATAGGAATATATAGGGAAAAATCTTTTAAAATCTTCTTCTCAAGAACAACAAAGCCACAATGAGTCATATTGTTATGGAATCATCCTCAGGTAGAGTGGATTCAAGTTTGTTCAAATCATGACCCCCGGGGGTAGGGTGGGGCCACAATGGGGGATCAAAGTTTTACATAGGAATATATAGGGAAAATCTTTAAAAATCTTCTTCTCAAGAACAACAAAGCCACAATTAGTCATATTGATATGGAATCATCCTCAGGTAGTGAAGATTCAAGTTTGTTCAAATCATGACCCCCGGGGGTAGGGTGGGGCCACAATGGGGGGTCAAAGTTTTACATAGGAATATATAGGGAAAAATCTTTTAAAATCTTCTTCTCAAGAACAACAAAGCCACAATGAGTCATATTGTTATGGAATCATCCTCAGGTAGTGTGGATTCAAGTTTGTTCAAATCATGACCCCCGGGGGTAGGGTGGGGCCACAATGGGGGATCAAAGTTTTACATAGGAATATATAGGGAAAATCTTTAAAAATCTTCTTCTCAAGAACAACAAAGCCAAAATTAGTCATATTGATATAGAATCATCCTCAGGTAGTGTAGATTCAAGTTTGTTCAAATCATGACCCCCGGGGGTAGGGTGGGGCCACAGTGGGGGATCAAAGTTTTACATAGGAATATATAGGGAAAATCTTTAAAAATCTTCTTCTCAAGAACAACAAAGCCACAATTAGTCATATTGATATGGAATCATCCCCAAATATTGTAGATTCAAGCTTGTTTAAGGCATCCTCCAGTAGTATGGAGGGGCCATAATGGGGGATCAAAGTTTTACAAAAGAACTTATACAGGAAATATCTTTAAAAATCTTCTTCAATCTCAAGAACAACAAAGCCATGATCAGTCATATTGATATGGAAGCATCCTCAGGTAGTGTACATTGAAGTTTGTTCAAATCATGACCCCCCCTCCCCCCCCCCCCCAGGGTAGGGTGTTAGACATATTTAAAATTCTGTTTTAAAGAACAGCAAAATCATGATTAGTTATATGAAGATAGAAGCATCCTCAGAAGGTTGATATTCAATTTCATTCAAAACATGGCACCTTGGGGTAGGGTATGCCTAGAACAGGCGATCAAAGCTTTATATAGGAATATATAGGAGAAATATAGGAGAAGAAATCTGCTGACGAAGAACAGCAGGACCATATTGACTCAGGTGAGCGTTGTGGCCCATGGGCCTCTTGTTTTAATTAAGGAATAACTGTCTAATTTTTTGGATTCATGATGTGATCAATCGAGTGGCTTGCGTGATAATTTGCATAATCGCCGAAGGCGTTTATGCATAAAATTATCACGCAAGCCAATCGATTGATCATCGTCATGAATCCAAAAAATCTGACAGTTATTCCTTATATTTACATCCTCCTGATTCTGCAAATTCCCGTGCTAATAGCCCCGCTTCTGTCTCTATTTGTCCCGCCCCGCACGTGATTTTTTTAACTGCGTAGATTTATGTAGAAATAAAGTATTTTTACAATTTGTAATTTTATATCGGACAAAGACATTGGAAATGTAAATATATATTGATGAAATAAAAATTTCAATGGGAATAAGAAGAATTAATAAATTTTAAGTTTTTATTTTGAAAACAGACCAGGCTGCATAACTCATATGCTTGATATCACCTTATAATGCTCTAGAGTTTTTGTAATTAAGGACATACACAACGTAGTTAGAACTCTATTGTCTTTTCCCCTGGAGTTGAAGAGTTCCGATACTTAAAGGAAGTGTGTGCTACATTTAATGTCTATATATGCTGTTGTAAACTTCTTCTAAAACAAGTTTGGATAAACAAAACATCTAGAATATATGTTTAGTAATTTTTGTATATTTTTCTTTGAATTATACAAAAAATTTCATCAATTGATATCTTTTGAAAACCCCTGGTAATGCATGCTGATTTTTTGTCCATGAACATCTGATGGCACTATAATCTTAAATTCAGAATATCTTAAAAAATTATCAGAAGGTAAGGTACATTGCGTATGTCCTTAACAGAAACTATTTTTCTGGTCTGACATGTTTTAAAAATCGTACAATACTGACCTGCTATGTAATCAAAATTTAAAGAATGATATAATAAAATAAGCAACTATACAAAATCTCCTCACTTTGTTTGATAAAGACTCTTGCTAGTTTGACAAAATTTTATAATTATACACACAGTAAGAAAAATAACCATTTATATATTACATTTGCTTTAAAAAGGCACCTGTACATTCTACCGATACTGACACTGTTGGTTGCTGTTGTTGTGCTGAGGGTCCTGTCAGGTCAGAGTTCAAGGTTGATAGGACTGGCTATGTCCCAGGGGAATATATCATTATCAATGCAGAAATCGACAATAGAACCTCCAAAGTGATGGACGAGTCTAGGGTGGAACTGTGGATGGTAAGCAATTGATGTACTGCGAAATGTAAGCATACAGGTATTGATAACTGTATTACTCACGAATTCCCAGTGGGGATGATGCAGAAATTGGTCACCTCTGGATTTTCAGTGTTAACATTTATTATATCAAAACAGCAATCTATTCTAAAAATAAACTTTGCCCCTACCCCGGCCCCAACGAAAAGACAACCCTTTCTTGGGCGTGAGTATTTTTCCCAAAGAAATCTATAATGAATGGAGATGTAACAGTATACATTTATTGACTGGGTTCGAGGGCAACATGCGTTTTGTCGGACCCAAGAACCAAACTGTTTCCCGAGGCCGTTAGGCTGAAGGCAAACAGTTTGGTTCGAGGGGTCGACAAAACGCATTTTGCCCGAGAGCACAGTCAATAAATGTTTTGTTATACCTTTTATTTATTTATTTATTTTATTATTATCATTTTTTTTACATACATGCTTGGCTGTAGGAACGGGGGGGGGGGCAATAATTTTGCCGATATATAGATTACTGTTCTAAACATAGATACTATATGCTTGTGCCCCTTCAATAAAAACGTCTGATGACTTTTTTTTTTTGGCTTGTCGGAAAATTTTTGGTAGTGCCTCCTCAACTGAAAATGTATGACTGTGCCCCCCAAACTGAAATTGCTTCCTACGGGCCTGACATGTATGTCGAACACCAACGAATGCAAATGAGATTTAGCTGACCCCGCCCATAATGTGACGTAAGCGGTCCAACATCTCATCGACAGGTCCAATATCTCACCTCGCGGTCAAACATCGATTTTTTTATGCCCGCTCAGTAAAACATTGGAAATGTTAGACTTTTATTAATATTGATTTATATAGGAACAAATTTTTAAAGGTATAACAATAGAAGGGTATTCTATCCTGAAAGAGCACAGCGAGATAATTTGACCTACAAAATATTCCAAATGCAGTGTAGATCATGTTCTTTCAAATACACATCTGCAATTAAAGATTTAGTTCGGTGGCGTATGTTTGCATTGGTTTTTTTCAAAAATTGAAGTAAAATTTTACATATTACAGAAGCTGAAGTTGAAGGCGGGTTCAGAGAGAAAAACGAAAAAAACAAAGATAGCTGAATTGAAGCATGGATCTACAGGCCCCGGGGGTCAGGATATCTGGAGTCGGGAGAGACTTCATATTCCACCCTGCCCTCCAACTATGTTGGAAGACTGCACAATTATTGATATTACTTATTACTTACATGTAAGTTTACATTTTTACGCGAGTATGTTTTATTTTATAGGGTAATGGAACTTATATTGGTGAATATCGGTACGAGTTGGATGATGTACAGCCAACAAGTGCCAATATTCACCAATATAAGTTATGTATAAGTCCTTTATTATATAGCTAAAGATTATCCCAAATGATTTATATTTTTGAATAAAATAACTCATAATTAATGAAAATTAATTAATATTGGCGTCCACATTGAAAGTGTGCAACAATTAGCGTCTGTCCCTGGAAAGTCTTCAATATTACTCCTACATAGTGTTATAATTGTTATGATTTGATTGTTCAAAGCTTATAGGCAGTACATGTGCATTATTAATTTTATGTTACTATTTATGCAAAAAAAATCTTTCTGTTTAGCTGTTGACCAGACTACAGCCAAAGCCTCAAGTGAGCTTTTCTGATCAAAATTTGTCCGTTGTCTGTCGTCGTTGTCGTTGTTGTTGTCGTTGTAAACATTTCACAATTTCATCTTCTTCTCCAGAACCACTGGGCCAATTTCAACCAAACTTGCCATAAAGCATCCATGGGTGAAGGGGATTCAAGTTTGTTCAAATAAAGGGCCACGCCCTCTTTCAAGGGGAGATAATAGAGAATTTGTGAAAAATTAATAGCATCTTTTAAAAATCTTCTTCTCAAGAACCACAGGGCCAGGAAAGATGAAACTCATGTGGAAGCATCCTCAGGCAGTGTAGATTCAAGTTTTTTCAAATCATGACCCCCGGGGGTAGGGCAGGGCCACAATGGAGGATCAAAGTTTTACATAGAAATATATAGGAAAAACCTTTAAAAATCTTCTTCTCAAGAACAGCAAAGCCATAATGAGTGATATTTATTTGGAAGCATCCTCAAATAATGTACATTCAAGTTTGTTCAAATCATGACCCCCGGGGGTAGGGCGGGGCCACAATGGAGGATCAAAGTTTTACATAGCAATATAAAGGAAAAAACTTTTAAAATCTTCTTCTCAAGAACAGCAAATCCATGATGAATCCTATTGATTTGGAAGCATCCCCTGGTAGTGTAGATTCAAGTTTGTTCAAATTATGACCCCCAGGGGTAAGGTGGGGCCACAATGGAGGATCAAAGTTTTACATAGCAATATAAAGGAAAAATCTTTTTAAAAATCTTCTCAAGAACAGCAAAGCCATGATGAGTCATATTTATATGGAAGCATCCTCAGGTAGCGTAGATTCAAATTTGTTCAAATCATGACCACCGGGGGTAGGGCAGGGCCACAATGGAGGATCAAAGTTTTACTTAGAAATATAAAGGAAAAATCTTTCAAAATCTTCTTCTCAAGAACAGCAAAGCCATGATGAGTCATATTTATATGGAAGCATCCTCAGGTAGTGTAGATTTAAGTTTGTTCAAATCATGACCCCCGGGGAAATTTTTACATAGAAATAGTTAGGAAAAATCTTTTAAAAATCTTCTTCTCAGGAACAGGAAAGCCCTGATTGGTCATATTTATATGGAAGCATCCTCAGGTTGTGTATATTTAATTTTATTCAAATTATGACCCCCAGGGGTAGGGTGGGGCCACAATGGAGGATCAAAGTTTTACATAGAAATATACAGGAAAAATTTTAAAAATCTTCTCAAGAACAGCAAAGCCCTGATTGATCATATTTATGTGGAAGCATCCTCAGGTTGTGTAGATTCTATTTTGTTCAAATCATGACCCCTGGGGCTAGGGTGGGGCCACAATGGAGGATCAAAGTCTTAAATAGAAATATATAGGAAAATTTCTTCTTCTGAAGAACTGCAAAGCCATGATAAGTCATTTTTGATATGGAAGCATCCTCAGGTATAGTGTAAATTCAATTTTGTTCAAATGATGACCCCCGGGGGTAGGGTGGGGCCCAATGAGGGATTGCTAATTTTACATAGGAACATATAGGAAAATATCTTCTTATCAAGAACTGAAAATCATGTTTAGTCATTTTGATATGGAAGCATCCTTAGGTACAGTGTAAATTCAATTTTGTTTAAATGATGACCCCCGGGGGCAGTGGTGTATCCTGGAATTTCGTAAGGGGGAGGGGTATAGAGGCATTGGGTCTAGGGGCTGCATTGAAGCCCCCAGTGGGTCTAGAGCAAGGCCCTGGTGGGGGTCCAGGAAGCTGACGAATTCTTACAAAGAAGAGAAGTTTTTTCCTTGATTTTAGGATAATGGACATATAAGTTCTACATAAAAAAATTCAAACGGGGGACACACGCCCAGCATGCCGGCGCTGGATCCGTCTTTGCAGGGGTAGGGTGGGGCTCAATGGGGGATCGAAAGTTTTACATAATTTTTTTAAGAACATATATAGAAAAAATATTTCTTCTCAAGAACAGAAAAACTATGTTTAGTCATATTGATATGGAAGCATCCTCAGGTAGTGTAGATTCAAGTTTGTTCAAATGATGACCCCTGGGATAGGGAGGAGCCACAATGGGGGATCAAATTTTTACAAAGGGATATATGGGAAAATTTTTTAAAAATCTTTTCAAGTACGACAAAGTCATTTGTTAAATTGACATGGAAGGTACCGGTAGTTTAAAATTCAAGCCCCCCTCCCCCCCCCCCCCCCAGGTAATCTTTTCAATACTGAACTGATTTGTACTTTTGCCTAGCCAATGTGCTCAGGTGAGCGATGTGGCCCATGGGCCTCTTGTTTTGTTTACAACGGCACGTTTGAACTTTCGCATTCAGAATGTTTCGGGAAATACTAGTGAACGTAATGCAAACTCATCGTTCAAAAAATCGCCAAGATATTGAACTTTTAAATTCTCGAGACTTAGTAGTTATTCATAATACACTAAACTGTAAGCTAAACAATAAAGTTGTTATACAGAACGACAAACATTTTTGTCTCTGTACTAATTGTTGAGACCTCTTAATCGTCAATCATGCAATTTCTTTGCTAATTAAAACTATAACATTGCTTTTGTAGTTTGTGGGTGATATAGGTTTCCTTGGTGTGCTTCATGAGGTCCCTATTCTAATCGGAAGTGTCCCTCTAAGCAATGTTTACTCTATGCCAAACAACTGGGGTTTTATGCCACCACCTTCTTTGCCTCCGCCCCCTACCAATTCGAATTCACCTGCGGTGGATCCGGCAGATATTTCACTCTCGCCAATAACGACACAGCCCGGATTTTTACCAACTGCTCGTGAGTATAAATTTTTACACGTGACAAGAAATGTCTACGGGAAAGAGAACATTGATGCATTAATTACGAAAGGTATAGCATATAAACATTTTGGGGCTATTTCCTGAGTTCAAAAAAAAAAAAAGAACCAATCATAGAATCTTGTATCATGGCTGTGGTGTTTTTCCTTTGAAGTCAAGTGTACAATAACTGGAGATACACCGATGGGCGGAGCCAGCAAAAATTGTGCTGTGTAAATAAATTATTGAACACCAAGGCGATTTCAACATTTTAAATTACATGTATATTGAAGAATTACTGAATTAAATGGGCTTTGTTATATACAAAGACACAATTTCTGCCAATGAAATAAATGTCTTTTACATAAATTACAGTGCACTTCTATCCCAAAATACGAAATGTTTTTACGGAACTCTGCAAATATTCGATCCACCGCATCGAGAAATCAAATTTTTGACATGAATTCCACAAATAAATATCTTAAAATATCACACCTATTTTAATAGAGCCTTTTAGCAGGATATACCATCTTTGCTGTATTCTTTGCTCAACTAGAATAAAGTTCAGCTGCACTGCATCCATAGATGAAGAATTATTAATACAGCGTTTTTGCTCATGCCACAGCTCTCGAGTATGTCAATGATCTTTTTTTCTTGATTTTCGATTAACACCTGAATTTCCCTTAATCTTCAACTTCGAATTTTTCATCCTTGATATTCTTATGAATTTCATTAACAATCCGTATTTATATTAAGTTGGAGAGCTACAATCCGACGTCCTTTCTCATGAACACACGCATAAAATGTGCGTATTAGAAAATACTGGAGGGAGGGATCCATGCGGTCACCTGACACTATATTTTTAGTGGTGTAATTAAAAAATCATGCTTGAAAATTTGGGACATAACAATTATTGAAGCTTTGATTGGCCATGATACAAGAAAGTTATTGAATATTTATTATGGTATATCCTGATTTATTTGGACGAAGGGGTGGAGACTCGTGCTTCGCACTCGTCACCGCCCTTCGTCCAAATAAATCAGGATACACCATAATAAATATACAATAACTATTACCTACAACACCTCGCCAGTCGGCGGTGTTCTTTTGACTTCCATATTTTGGAACTGTCACTGAACTGAATTGATTATGTAATTATACTAAATCTACATGTTCTTGGTGAATTCAGTATCATGATAATATCTCAAAAATAGTTATAAAATAATGTATTTGAACACAGTGAAACAAATACAAGCTGTACTTGCATTAACGAATCGGTACTAATATTGGAGAAGTCATATATATTATCACGATGAAAATTTTACTGTTATAATAGATTTTTCTAATTTCTAAAATTAAGTTACTGTTTTGTATGGAATTCCATATACGACAGCCAACTGCTTACTGCCAACTGCTCACTGCTTACTGCCAACTGCTCACTGCTTACTGCCAACTGCCACACATATTTGAATAAATTTTCATATTTATATTGATATTTATGTGAATTTTCATAAAACCAGGCGCGGATCCAGGATTTTTTTACAGGAGGGGTCCCCCCCCCCCCCAAAAAAAAAAAATCCAACACAGAAATTTCTTGACAAAAAAAAAGAACAAAACAAAACAAAACAAACAAAAATGTAAACTCCTTTCCTAAACGTAAAAAACCTATTTCGGCGGGGGAAGGGGAGGGGTTGACATCTTGTGCTTCATATCTATGACTTTTCATATCAACTTAACACGGATCCGCGTTTTCTAGGGGTGGGTGGGTTTCCAAGGTCACTTTTAGTTGGTTTAGTATAGGTCTATACATTAAATAACTCTACAAATTCCAGGGGGTGGTCCGGACACCCACCCACCCCCCTCCCACCGACACCCACCCCCCCCCCCTCTAGATCCGTGTATGTAAAACATAACTTATTTGGGAAAACAAAGAGATATAGATCTTTAATTTGAGAAAATATTTCACTATAGAAATAAACGAAAAATGGAAATTTATTTTCAAAACATCTTCCCCCGCGAAACAACAGATCCCTTTTTTCAGTTTTTATTCATTCCAAAGGTTTTGTTGTCTAACGGGGGGGGGGGGGGACACGTGTTTTTGAAGAGTAAAAACAGGAAAATAGTCATTTTATTACCAATTTTAAATGAGATAACAAATAAAAAATGTACTTTATCACTTTATCAATCTCATATGTTAAATTTTACATAAGTTAAAACATACGGTGAGATTCAAGAGTCATTTATCCATTTTCATTTTCATGAAGGCGGGAATAGAGAGTTGGTGTGCTGCATAGTTCTTACAATAATAACAAAATTTGGCGGATTTAGGAATTTTTAAACTGTAAAGGCGAGGAAGGAGTAAATCGGAAGAAGGGGTGTTTCCTCTTAAAAACAAAACATTTAATTTCTGCATTTCGTTGCAGGCAAATAATTTGATAGCTTTTTTTGACGCGGGTAAGGGGGGGGGGGGATCACATACGACAAAAGAACAAACTTTTAAAAGGGTCTTGAGTAACATTTGTTGGTATATGTATTTATATAATAGAAATATTACTGAAAGTTATACTAACAAATAACTTTTGCCTAGTTTAAAACATCGAGTAATAACTTTTGGATTTTCTTTTTACCCTAGGAAAAATACCTATGTGTGGGAATTTTTATATGTGTCTTATGTAAATCGTTTTAATGGCTAATGTTCGACCTGTTAGATCTGTAAAAAACATTCGTGGTGGTGGTGGTTGGGGGGGGGGGGGGGGGCGTAAACACTAAATTTCCAACATATACTATATACAGTAGTTCTCCCTTACGGAAGGGTATTAGTGCCACGTAATTTTTTTTTTTTTAAAGTTGGTAATTCCAACTTTAAAGTTGGAAATTCCAACTTTAAAGTTGGCTTTTCCAACTTTAAAATTGGAAATTCCAACTTTAAAGTTGAAAATTCCAACTTTAAAGTTGGCTTTTCCAACTTTAAAGTTGGTAATTCCAATTGCAACTTAAAAGTTGGAATTACCAACTTTAAAAAAACATTACGTGGCACTAATACGCTTCCGTAAGAGAGAACTACTGTATATAGTATATGTTGGAAATTTAGTGGTTACGCCCCCCCCCCTCCCTACAACCACCACCACCACGAATGTTTTTTTACAGATCTAACAGATCGAACATTAGCCATTAAAACGATTTACATAAGACACATATAAAAATTCCCATACATATGTACTTTTTCTAGGGTAAAAAGAAAATCCGAAAGATATTACTCGATATTTTAAACTAGGCAAAAGTTATTTGTTAGTATAACTTTCAGTAATATTTCTATTATAAATACATATACCAACAAATGTTACTCAAGACCCTTTTAAAAGTTTGTTCTTTTGTCGTATGTGATCCCCCCCCCCCTTACCCGCGTCAAAAAAAAAGCTATCAAATTATTTGCCTGCAACGAAATGCAGAAATTAAATGTTTTGTTTTAAAGAGGAAACACCCCTTCTTCCGATTTACTCCTTCCTCGCCTTTACAGTTTAAAAATTCCTAAATCCGCCAAATTTTGTTATTATTGTAAGAACTATGCACACCAACTCTCGATTCCCGCCTACATTTTCCATCCATTTAATTCAATATAAATGGCAATTTGGACATGAAAACTTGTTTGAATGCAAAGAAAAGTTCATTAGTATTAAGTACTAATTTTAAAAACCAGTGACAAAAAGTTAATTGCTCTTATTTACAACTCCTTTCATAAGGGGATAGAAAATTTTATTAATTGAAATCAGGCTGAAAACGTCGCCATTTTCAAATACTCATGAAAATGATAATGGATAAATGACTCTTGAATCTCACCGTATGTTTTAACTTATGTAAAATTTAACATATGAGATTGATAAAGTGATAAAGTACATTTTTTATTTGTGATCTCATTTAAAATTGGTAATAAAATGACTATTTTCCTGTTTTTAATCTTTAAACACGTGCCTCCCCCCCCGCCCCCCCGTGAGACAACAAAACCTTTGGAATGAATAAAAACTGAAAAAAGGGATCTGTTGTTTCGCGGGGGAAGATGTTTTGAAAATAGATTTCCATTTTCCGTTAATTTCTATAGTGAAATATTTTTTTCAAATTAAAGATTTATATCTCTTTGTTTTCCCAAATAAGTTATATTTTACATACATAGATCTAGAGGGGGGGGGGTCGTTGGGAAGGGGGGGAGGGGGTTCCAGACCACCCCCTGGAATTTGTAGAGTTATTTAATGTATAGACCTATACTAAACCAACTAAAAGTGACCTTGGAAACCCACCCACCCCTAGAAAACGCGGATCCGTGTTAAGTTGATATGAAAAGTCATAGATATGAAGCATAAGATGTCAACCCTTCCCCTTCCCCCTCCGAAATAGGTTTTTTTTACGTTTAGGAAAGGAGTTTACGTTTTTGTTTGTTTGTTTGTTTGTTTTTTTTTTTTTTTTGCTTTTTTTTTGTTTTTTTTTTGTTTTTTTTTTTTTTGGTCAAGAAATTTCTGTGTTGGATTTTTTTTTGGGGGGGGGGGGGGAGGGGGGTGGAGTCCTGGATCCGCGCCTGGTTTTATGAAAATTCACATAAATATCAATGTAAATATGAAAATTTTTTCAAATATGCGTGGCAGTTGGCAGTAAGCAGTTGGCAGTAAGCAGTTGGCTGTCGTATATGGAATTCCATAGTTTTGTGTTTTTTAATATGAAACTGACAAATTTTGATACAGGTCGGTGTACTCGGGACGGCTGTCCGATTCCGACTGATCATCCAAAACAAATTCAACAGTATATATAACAATTATAGAGCGACATGTGTAAAAATGACATTTGGAGATAAATAAATAAAGGTTTTGACACTTGAGTAAACCCTTAAAATAACTGAGGGCCAGATTATCGTCCTTTTGATGTTATTTTGCTTAAAGATAATTTAGCAATATCAAACGATGACAGGTGTTAAACCCAATTGGCTTGGATTATCTGAAATCGCCGATGTTTTAATTCAATAAAGATTAAGAGTCGTAAATTCAATAAAGAAAATGATTTGAAAAGCTCAAGAATTTAGAAAGAGTTGTTCAAAAAAACACAAAACAGTAACTTAATTTTAGAAATTAGAAAAATCTATTATAACAGTAAAATTCATCGTGATAATCTGTCCTCTACAAAAATTTAGAATTTTTCAATTTAAATTTGTATATGACAATTCTCCCCTTGCCACAAAAAGTTTGTCCTCAAACTTTAAAGAAAATATACACATGTAAATATAAAATTAAACATTGTGCAATAGTAAATATTCAAAATTTAGTGTTCAAAATTTCTTTGTATAATTCAGAATCTTTAAACTGTCTATATTCCTTTCGGACAAGTTTACTGTTTTCAACATCTCTTTTACACATACAGTACTGTTTGATTGATCGCAGTACGATGTGTTCCATTTCATAATTTTCCAGAAGCCAGTTGTAATGGGAAACAAGTCCGGAAAGTTTCTTTAGATCTGACGCGGCATAGTTTAAGTATGTAGTATACCGTTTTATCTGTTGATCTTTTTCATCGTTCGACTTTGACTGTTTCTCCAATTTCCATTCTAGGATTTCAATGTCCATTTTCATTAGCGCTTTTGTATATTGGAGATCTTTTACCACAGACTGAACTTCTGATGAAAACACTGACTTTAAGTTGACACACTCTTTAAATTTGGAATCACTTATGTTTGCAAATGGATGTACCCGGAACAACCTTTTCCTGCTGTTGTAATCCTGCAGTCGTTCGGTGTCCCTTTTCCTCTTTGCATCCGATTTTACAGCGCGGCACGAACGTTCTCCGCACACTCAATTGTCATATACAAATTTAAATTGAAAAATTCTAAATTTTTGTAGAGGACAATATGTAACAATGGTATTAAGGTTTTGTATCTCCCTATATTTCAGCTCCACCCTCTTACCAGGATAGCTTAGAATTTACTGGAACAATCGTAACAGAAAAAAATGAAGGCAAAAAGAAAGAAAAAGACTTCAAACCAACATATATTTATTACAACTTTGGAACAGATCCTCTTACAATGTAATACATATGTTATACAAACCAACATATATTTATTGAATCTCTTAAAGTGTAATACATACATATTTTATACAAAACAAAATATATCTATAGAATCTCTTACAGTGTAATACATACATATTAAATTTCTTAAGGAGGATCTGTACACCTATGAAGTATATGTGATTTTTGTTGCATGCCTTAGTGTCTAATAATGGGCTCAGTATCCAATAAAATAAAGCTTCAAAGTATTAAACTTATTTTTTTTAACCAAAGTTTAATCATTTAGATTGTTTTGTTTTATTTGTTTATTGATTAACGTCCCTCTCGAGAATTTTTCACTTATATGGAGACGCCACCAGTTGCCGGTGGAGAGCTGTGGAAACCCCATATTTTGATATTTTTAAAAACCTTATGTTTTAAAATTCCTATAAAAGTTCAATGAAATAAAAGCTTGAAATGGAAACCAACAAAGTCATAATTGAAATCTATATAATTTTATTTGAATATACAAAAAGACAAAAGAAACAAAAACAGTATTTTCTTGAAAGGAGCTGGATGAATTTGCCAAAATCTGAAATAAAAATAATATCAAAGGGTTAAAATGATGAAAAGAAAGAAATTGAATGAAATTGTAAAACTAGCAAAAATTTAAAAAATCACAAAAATCCTGATGGGAAAGATCCGTACAAAGAGTGGATTCAAATATCTTGGAAATGATTTTTTTTTTATATATTTACACTAATATCTTACAAATATGCACAAGCATCGAAGAAAAATTAATAAGGACATGTCAAATAAGTACATCGAGAGAAGTTCATCTTGTATTGTTTTTCAAACGTTTCTAGTCAAATACATATGTGAATTCACGGTATTGATAGAGGAAGATTTACTTACCGTTTTCATTCAACTTGTATGTATTATCCTCTGTCACAAATGACGTGAAAAGCAAATGGTTAAAAGCTGGGTAAAAGGAGTTCAGTATAACGAAATTCCTACTTTGTTTCAAATCTTAACTTGTCCACTCTGTCGTGAACAGAGTGTATCCTCCGAGCGATGGAAAGTTGGATTTACTTTTTCTGTCCAGTTTTGCATTTTTTATACGCCCGTCTTAAGACGGGACGTATTATGTTATAGCCTTCATGTCCGTCCGTCCGTCTGTTAGCTTTTTCGTGTCCGGCTCATAACTTTATAACTTAATACTATTAGGCCTAGAATTATCAAACTTTGTCAGCTGATACGTCTTGGGTAGAAGGTGTGTCATGCATTAAAAGTAGGTCGCTCTGACCTTTAATTAAGATGCTATGGCCAAATATGGAAAAATCCTGTCCGGCTCATAACTAGAAAACTATTAGACTTAGAATCATAAAACTTGGCCAATTTATGCATCTTAGGTAGAAGGTGTGTCGCGACCTATTTCAAGGTCACTGTGACCTTTAATTCAGCGAATTTTTTTTTTTTAAAAACTGTGTCTCTATACTATTAAATTACACAGTCCCCATAAATGTAATAATGTTGCAGTATCCTTATATTAAAAAGTGTTAAATCAAGAAAATACTTTTTTTTTTCATTATATACTTTACAGCAATCTATAACAAATGTAATGTTATAAGAGAAATTCCACCTCTCCCATGGGTGTTATCATCAAGCACTGGTCAAGGATAATTTTGATAACAGAAAATTACATGTTAAATTAGAGAGAAATTAATGAGTTTAGTGTGAGGAACTAACTGGTAGAGCATCTCTGATCAAGCAGCTCTTACAATGTATCTGTATCCTTTGGGAATTAGACAGAAAAACTGCTTGTCAGTTTTTAGCATATGTCATATGATGGCCAGCCTTTTATTTTCAAAATTAATTTGGTATAGATTAAATTGTTAAGACTATTTTGATATTGTTTAATATGAAATTTTTATTTATTTATTTATTTATTTTTTTTTTTTTTTTGAAAATATCAAATAAATATGAAAGATGGGGGGAGGAGGAAGGGGGCTGCAGATGGGCATTTGTCAAGGTGTAACACAACCAGTTGAGAAATTTATTATAATTAGTGCCTGCACTACAGGAAATGTATAAACATCAAATATTATAAGGAATGAAAAAATCATGGAAATCTTAGAATTAAGGTTGACATGATTTTCTTGCACCCTAAACTGCATGTTTATGATAATTGAACAATATTTGACGGGCGTATCATGCTGTGGCGGGGCACTTTATTTTTATATATATTTCGCTGGAAAGTACATGTATATGCATTCGAAAGGAGCATTAAATTGTTAAAAGGAGTTTATGGAAACATTCCCCTTAAAGTCTGACGGCACGTTGCTCGATTATCGGTTTTGAATATCATCGTAAACTAATAATTATCATTGTCTTGTGATTTTTTTTATACAATTTTTCAAATTGTCTAAGTAGATTAAGACACAAAAAATGTGATATTGGCAATGCCAGTGATTTCAAAAAGGATTATATAGTAGATAGCATCCTCTGATATCTTGCACAAATGCCTCGTGAGGTACCTTAATTTTTTGTGAGGAAACTTGTTAAATTAGGAATACTTCAATGACGAGTTCCTGGAAAAAATATATATTATTGAGAAACATGTCGTCTGACATTAAGTTGATGTTCAGAGTCGAAATACAATAAAGCTGAACAATTTGGGGGGGGGGGGGGGGGGGGGGTTGTTTCATGCATGGTTCAGGTAAAATTTTGTATTATTATATACTGATTATAAAATGCAAAAATGATAAATCACTGTGTATATGAACAAGAAGAGGTTTCTCAAAACTGTACAATCATATGGGAATCTGCGAATGGGAGAATGAAACTACATGTATTAAGAAGGAACCTTTTCAAATATTTGTTAATTGGATTCAAAATGTGATCAACTTAGACTTCTTCCCGGGCTTATTGAATTTCTTTCTCAACAGTTTTAATTTTAAGACATATTTACATTGTATTCAGTGCAAAAGATCTGAGGAAAAACACTAAAACCCTTATTTGAAAATATATCTTGACTTTAAAGACACATGTAGAGCTGTATAAGTAAAGTTGGCGTATATCATTTCATAAAATGATCTTCGAAACCCCTTTCTTTACTTCTAACCAAAATATTGAAGGCAATGATGAACCTTCGGCAGTACTGAGCAACAAAATATTCGAGAAGTGGACCGTCATTACTAAACTCCAAACTAAACTCCAAAGAACGTTTAGAAAATACCCCCCCCCCCCCCCATTAACAGCAGCAAAATTTATGACTTTTTCAACACTTGATGCAACTATTCTTCACGATAAATCAAAATTCTGACTTTTCACACTATAGACACTCCTTCTTCATTAAAAATGGAACTCAAAAATGTTTATATCTTATTAATTATCATCTACGAAATTACTTTGTTAAAAATCACTCTGTTCCAGTGATCCTACACACAAGTATCCTATATGTTGTAAAATGTAAAAGAAGGCTCTTGCTTTGGTCTTAGTTCGGTTTATAAAAATACCGACGATGTTTTTTTTTTACCAATGAAATAAAAAGATCCACTGAAACAATACAAATTGTGAGCAGAGCAAACACGAAGGTGGGATCGGGTGCCATGGAGGAGTAATCATTCCCTGTTGACTGGTAACACTCCTTGCTTGATCGGGTAAACGGGAAAATAATGTGAAAATAATGACCCAATAATTTATATGAGTGAAGTCAGTCAACATTCGACCTCACGATAGATTGTATTTGCTAACAACGTCATTGTTTAGATCATATAATGTTGACTTTAAAACGAGATTGCTGTTATCCTTGCATCATCAACTTATTTGTCAATAGCTTACCTCGCTTTAGAAGTTAAGAATTGTTTGAACGTAAAACATGCTCTTGCATATCAAATCAACCGGGAAACATAAATTCCATATGCAGGTGATAATGGTACAATGCTACATAATTAAGGGAAGTTAACGATAGAGATGTTGAAGTCATAAGGTTTATCATTAAGTTTTATTCATTTTTCTTATTCATTTACATCAATTTCATACATTGATACAAATTCGAAATGAAAGACCTTACAGATTTAAAACTGTATTCAACACTAATTTTTTGGTTCATTAGAACATCTCTATTGAAATAGGATTTCATCATTGAAAGACTCTTAATAATTTTTATATGACTGATTTTACTAATTTTTTAATAAACGAGTTCAACTGTTAATCTGAACAGAATTCTTCGCATTCTTCCACCGTCTCAATTAAAACAAATATGAAGATAGCGAGCAGTGACTAATCTCAATTTGTTTAAAAACAATAAAAAATTGCAACAGGGTATAAAACACGTACCTTGGAAACTCTAGAGGTGGGATCAGGTGACTAAGAGGAATAAGCACCCTCTGTCGAACTGGTCTCACCCGCCCCGAGCACTATGAATTAATCAAGTAGATGGAATGATCCATAGTCAAATTTAATATAATTTTGTATGAAATGCACAATTTGTATGAAACATATCAGTCAAAAATATGACACAATAAAAGACAGTATTTACAGAAAAGGTCATTATAATGACCACAAATTTTTTGAAATGCTGATGAGTAGATGAAATCCCTTTAATACAAGTTATATGTCAGTAACTTGTCTCAGTTTAAAAGGGATCATACTCAGGACACGCGCTCTTGCCAGTCGAGTATCGAACTTGGGAGAGATAAACACCATATGCAGGTGATAGTGGAATATTTTTCCTTAAATAAGGAAAGTTGACGATGGAATAGTTAGTCATCTCGTTTGTCATTCAGTTAAGTTAATAGTTGGCCGTTACCTTCAACTGTCCCATGTCCTTATCTCCCTTTTTCAACCTAGCTACATTCAGTACAATTATCTCTTGGTGAAGGACGTTTGTACACCAACATATACCTATGTAGACTCTCTCATTGACACTACCTCAATGCCTTGACTCCAAAGTTTAAAAACTTCCTTTATCATTTGATATGGTCTTGGAACCTTAGGTTTTGATACGAAGTATGGCATCGACTTAACGGTTTTCTTTAAAGCAGACTGAACCTTCTCATTTCCAGCCTTTCTCTTTGGCACATGAATAGGAGTGGGTTGCCTTGTTTTCTAACTACTCTTCCAACCTTTTAAATATTCTGGTATTTCAGCTGAGGATCTTAGAGCTTCCTTGTGTACCACTCCTTGTTCTTTGGGAGTATCATTCTATTTCAACATATATATGCAATTAGTATCTTCTTAAGTACACTCTCTACTCTCAGAG